AGCTTGGCACCAAATGCAACTACGCACATACCAAATAATATCACATTGCATCTCTAGCCAATAGAAAAACCTATGTAACTTCTCGATTACACAATGATGTCCCATATGCCTACCTAGAACAGAAGAATCATGGTAGGCATGGAGAAACCACAGAATAAAGACAAAAGGCACCACCAATTGTAAATAATCATCATGATCTGTCCCCACAAAATAAAGAAGGCCATCTTCAAGGTGATATTGAGAATATAAATGCCGGAAAGGCAAGTCATCAGCAAGTGATGCAAGATTCTCAAACCCATCTCGAAGCCTTTGAATCCACAGCTCAATCTTTTGAGCTTCGTGAATGTCATCAAGAGAAGGTAGATCTTGCTCTACGCCTTGTGGACACTGAACATCAAGTACAACAACCACCGACGGCACAGAACCCTCATCTAGAAAATCCACAAATGCTGGAACAACAAGCTCGTCAGAAACATGAGAAGAGAGTGGAGAAGGAAGAGGAACTCGAGAAAGGGCATCAGCATCAGCCATAGAACTCCCTAGGCGATAAATAACATCAAAATCATATATCTGAAGCTTCAAAGCCCATCGAGTAGTATGACCAACCAGGTTCTTCCACTTCAATAATGAAGTAACAGTAGCATAGTCACCTTCAAGTAACATTCGAGAACCATGTAGATATGCATGAAGTTTCTCGAAACCCCAGCTACTACTAAACACTCCTTCTCTGTCGTGGAGTAGTTCATCTCCATTGGTTGTAATGTATAGCTTATATACGCAATAAGATGGTGCTAACTAAGCACACACGAGCTCTCTTGTATCAACACACATCTAAGATCAATGTCAGAAGCATCCACGCACAAAATAAAAGGTCGAGTGTAGTTAGGATATGTCAAAACTGGAGTTGTCAATAGCTCTTTGAGATCCAAGAATGCTCGCTAACAATCCGGAGACCAGATGAAAAATGACGTTGATGACTTCAGCAATCCTCGCAATAGTGCAGTGCAATCAAAAAAATGATCCACAAAACAACTGAGATACTGCACTTTGCCCAAGAAGCGTTACATATCATTCACACACTTCGGAGTAAGGAACTTTAGAATAGCCACAAGTTTGTCAGGATCAACGAGAAATACAGTACCCAAAATAAGTTGTGTCCTTGGACCCAAACATGCACTTTGACCACTTCAGCTTTAAACCAACGTTGCGTATCTAATCCAACACTTTATAAACATCACAAACGTGCTCCTCCCACGTCTCCTCCGAGTTGATCAAGACATCATCAATGAAGTCAACAGTCACCTTCGGCATATCACAAAGAACCTTGTCCATCATTTTCTGGAAAGTTATTGGAGCATTATTCAAACCAAACGGCATCACCAATAACTCATACAAACCAAATGGTGTACAAAAAGCAGTCTTAGGGATATCTTCTTCTGCCATTGGTACTTGCCAGTACCCAGAAGCAAGATCTAGCTTGGTGAACTAACGACTTCGCCCTAGATGATTTAAGAGATCAGCAATGTGAGGAAGAGGGTACATATCTCGGACTGTCACTTCGTTTAACGGATAATAGTCGATGCAGAAACGAATACTCTCATCAGGCTTCGTCACAAGATGGGGTTCACATGCCCGAGGACTTTGTGACTTCCGACATCTCCTTGACATTTGCTTGCAAAATTTTGATCTCCTTGGGTGACCAATGACGAACAAAAACCTTAATTAGACGAACATCCCTAGTTGGAATTGGATGATGTGTGGCAATCTTGGCCCCAAATAATTGGTCAAATTCAAAGAAATCAGAATACTCATTCATGATCTGGTCAACCATTGCAACACAAAAATTGCCAAAGGGATTAGAAAAGGGAATAGCAGAACAAAACGGAAACATAGGAGGAAATAGTGGGGGAACAAAAGCAATGGGAGTAAAGGTAGAAGTAGAGGGATGAAGAGGTATGGAAATGAGAGGAATTGATGAAACATAAGGAAGTATAAGACAGGGGGGAGAAGCCTCAAAGTCACATTTGACATGATTGCACTACAACTAATCCATACTAAGAATGATATCAAAAGCTTGACTCGGCATCACCTGGAATGACTACAACTCAAGCTCGAGATCACCCACATGCACAACCAGGTCCACCTCATCCCATGCACATACATGTGTACAGCTGTTGCTATAAAGAATGAAAACTAATTCCGCCGCACGACGCAAATGTAAACGGCAATGTGTGGCAATAGGTCAAGCAATAGAAGATAAACTTGAACTTGTATCAACCAACACAGAGAGAATAATAGGAGACCTCTTGTTATAAAAACAAGATTAGAAAATAAACATTGGATGAACCGGTGCCAAGTGAACCCCTTGATGATACTCCTGAAATAAAGATGGAAGGGTCACTAACTTATTCACGCAAGGTCCCTCCGTTACTCATGTGACTCCTTGTTTCCCAGTTGCATTTTAGTGTAGACTTTCCATTGCAGTAGCACCAATGGGACGTTGCTGACGCCAAGGTCTCCACCTAGGAAATGGAAGTCACCAATCTGGAAAACGCCGACAACGCTAATAAGTATGACCAACTTCATCACACGCCCAGCAGCGAACATCACAACCATGACCACATCCTCGCCCTTGTCCTTGAACTCGAGCAGCAGTAGCATCAACCTCCATTGGAACATGACCATCACTTATAGAAAGTGGCACTGAAGGATGTGTAGCAAGAAGTGGAAAAGGCGACGTCTCATAATGTTGTGCTAAACGAAAAGCATCGTCAAGGGTGGCAAGAGCAAGTACATGCACAAGTCCGACAAGATCTTGATGAAGTGCTGGCCACAACATTCTGAGCTTGATCCGCTCTGACATATTTAGCTTTGCATAAAGCAAAAAACTTCGGAAACAAATGCCAAATTGCATCACTGACTCAGATGGCTCTTGGCGAAGACGATGCAATTGTTGGAAGGCATCATCATAGTTGTTGGCATGTCCGAAGGCGCGTTTGAAGACGTCCAGGAGAACATTCTAATCCCCACGAGTGGCTGCGCTCAAACCATTGTACCACTGCAACGCCGTCCTTTGGAGACATGTGGGAAACTCACGCAAACGTCAAACATCATCCTAAACATGATATGTGGCAATCATCGTGAAGTGATTGAACCAATAGTACACATCATCCCCAGGATTCCTGTGAAAGAACTCCAGTCGAACGCAAGGATTGGCACCAAGAGCAAGAGGAGTTATACCACGTGCCATGAATGCTGCAATCAACTAAGTTTGGTTGTTCAATTGCAAGCACATAACATCAAGGAATTGTATCAATTATTGCTCCAAAGTCAAAAGAGGAGATTGCTAATCTACCATGAAGATGAACGAAAAAGAAAAAGCAAAAGAAGATAAATGACAAAAAGCTAGAAGGAAATGGTAGATCTAGACAATGCAAAAAGTTAAATCTAAACCAAAATCTTGAAAGGAAAAAACAAAAGAAAGGAAATGAAAAAAACTAAATCTAGACGATACAAAAGCTAGATTTAAACCAAAATTTTAAATCCAAGCACTCCTCAGGGACAATCAAAAGTGCCCCTCACCTCCACCAATATAAGTGTTTGGAATATGGAAAAGGAATACAAAAAATGTGCATATCTAAAAACTCTAGTTTATATATAAAAATGAGTGGTCCGAATTGAAACCAAGTCGATTGTTACCAAAATCCCACTATACTAATATTAATATATAATATTGTAACTGTACACTTGGCCCTCACAATTTTAATTTATTTGTCTTCATTTATAACTCACTTTTATCTTGGGAAAATCTAAAACCAAAAGTTTAAAAGAGTAAATCAGTGACAATCTTAACAAGGTTGTACTGCTTAGAGACCATGCGGAGTAAAAACCAGCAAAGATAGCCAAGGCACCAGAATATTCGACATATGCTTGGCTAGGGTTTATGGAGCCTGATGAGATCAGTGTGGTGCTCCAACGCGCCTCGGATCTCCACACGCGGATCAACGATGCCATCGAGCGCGCACTCAAATCGGAGTTCCTCCTCACTGCTGGTAAGGCGCGAGATTCTGTTAGCAGCGCTGCTCGAGATCGAGGCGAGGAGGAGGAGGAGCAAGGGTCAAATGTAGGTCTTCTCGGAGAGCCGAATGCCGAGGCGAAGAGCCTGGGCGCTATTCGCGATGCGCTCGAGGCCTTGGAAGAACAGCTCGAGTGTCTCCAGGTAAAGAGAAGACGCCTCTAATTGGTCCATGGATTGATCGCTTTGGATGTCGAATTCCAGGCTCTCCAGCAGCAGCAAAGGATGGATCGAGACACAGCGCTCGCGGAGCTGGAGGAGAGCCGATTGATTCTTCTCAGCCGGCTAAGAAGCCACCATGGCAAGGAATGGGAGATCATCCACGAAGCTCTGGCGTTCGCTGGAGAGCCCGTGGGGATCGAGCAAGAGAAGTCTCCAGCGCGGATCACGCAGGCTGGAGAGCCGATTAGAATCGAAGAACAGCACGGCGATCGAAGAGAGATCCACAAGAAGTTCGTGGCGAACTTTCTCGGGATCCCGATCAAGCTGGGCTTGGACCTGCGAAGATTTGCTGGCCGGCTCTTCGGCCCCGGGGTTGGAGTCACCTCTCGGGCGGCGATGGTGATGGCGGGTGTTCTTACCACGATCATCCTCTTCTCGGAGATTGGATCCAGGCACGAGAGAAGGAGCTCGAGCGAGGCTACCACTGCTCCTCCAGTGATCCCGACGCCATCGCTGGCGATTCCTCCGAGAGCTCCAGCTATGGAGGAGCGATGCCCTCCAGGCAAAGTGATGATCTTCGTGGATGGGGTCTCCAAGTGCGTCGTCAAGGAGCGCATCGAGATCCCATTTCGTGGTGAAGTGAGCTCGCCGGATGTGCTCTACGGGCGTGGCTAGATCAAACAGGGATCCATCCAGTCAACGGTGGCCAATGATAGTCAAACACATATATATTCAAGTAAAACGTTCACGAGATTAGGGCTTTAGGAAGTCAAGCATGCTGGCATTGCTGCTCCTTCTCGTGCCGCTAGGGCTCAGCGGCAAATCGACACGGCCATCCGCCGGCGAAATTTCGGAGAATCCAGTCGCGGCGGATCTAACGCTTGCACAGGCGCCCAAATTTTCGGATTCTTCACTGTAAGTGAGCGATCGAAGGTCGTGGCCGCTGCCTAATCGATGTTCTTGCGCACTGTAGAGGTTTCAGGCTCACGCCAGATGGTACTGTGCACGCGATCGATGACACTGGCAAGTATTTCTGGTCTTTTTCGTCTGGAGGGAGCTCGCTCGTGGAGATTGAGCCGATTGAGCAGTATGCCGACGAGGCGGAGCATTTCGACCAGGTATCTTAGGTTCTTAGCCGATACGCGTTTTTAGGGACGTGAATTCTCTTGCAATCCTTTCTCGTTTTTTCTTTCAAGTCTTGATAGAAGAGTTTCCTCCCAGCACTGTCGAGCTCTTGTAGAATTTGCATTGCCAAGCCTTGTTTTTTTACTTATTTGTGGTTCTGGAGCTCACACTTTTTATTCTTCACAGGATTACGAGACTTTAAAGAAGTACATTGCTGAGAGCCCGATCGTGAGCGAGGGTGGCGTGGTGATAGGGGCGTCTTTGAAATCAGTGTTCGTGGTCGACCCCAGCACCGGGACTCTGATCCACAAGTTTGACATCAACGGAACAACGTCTGGGAAGGATGCGGAGCCGCTGCTATCCTCGATGCTCAAGGACTTTAAGCCCCTCTTC